ACAAGAATCAGTGGATTGGAATTTAAAGGCCAACAAAATGAACAAAGGCCAGTAAATGAAGGGCCTCCAAAAGCCCAACTACGTTTGCCAAAACAACCAACCCATACCCCCTTCTTATTGGACGACTGAATCTTTGTGGCACATACATTTATTGAATATCAGAATTCCCAGAAACATCCTTTAATTATCATTTAGCTGCTTCTTGGTTATCAGCCATGAAATATATTAGTAGAGTGTTGGATTTTAATTTCAATTATTAAAACTTTAATTACAACAAATAGTTGCTTCTGCTCATATAAGGATTTTTCATTAAAAAATCTAAAAAATTATGCAGTCAACCACATCAAGAATATTGATTAGAAATGAGCTTCTTTTTTTTTTTTTTTGTCACTAGAAATATTATTTGACACAACACCATCGAAATTTCAAAAAGAAATTCGGAAGTCAAAATAATATTATATATATGGTTATGAAATCATGAGGAACACGTTGATTTCTTTTGGATTCTAATATATGTATATTTTTTTAATTTGTTAAATGAGTTGGATTTGCAAAGTAAAACCTAAAAAATTGGTTTTCTTCTGCGTTAAGAGTAAGTGGGGATCCCATTATAATTGCTTTTCGTATTGTCATCTTCTTTCACTTTGCAAAAATACTGATTTGGTAAATTATCACTTCTCTCTTACATTAATTAATTAATAAATTAAATAATTTGCTATTAATATTTATAGTAGTGTATATACTTTTTTTTTTTTTTACTGAAGGTGAATGTACACAGTAATAGACATTTTTATTACTTTATCCAAAGGTATAATACTTTTAATTAAATTTATGATTGAAATTTAATGATTTTAAATTAAATAAGAAAATAAATAAAAATGATTTGAATAAATATTAATCTTAGATTCAATTGAAAGTATATTTATCATCTTTAAATAAAATAGTAAAAAACTTTCACCATTTTTTAAATAATAGAGCGAATCCTTTTCTAATTGATCATCCAACCGGTTTGAATCATCAAATTTTGGTTGAATCAATTTGATCAGTTCAATTCACCAGAAGAGTTATTGTTCGGACTTTAAGTTCTGTGTTAATTAAAACATATTAAATGTAGTGAATACAGAGTAAAATAATTAACATAAATTAAATGGTAAAGATTTTAATTACAAACTAAGATATCAAAGTTCAAATCTTAAATTTCAGTATTATTTTAAATAAAACATCAATTTAAAAATGATTATCTTATTCGATCAATCAAACTCAATTAAAAATTTTGAATCAATTCAATTCAACCGACAAATTATTCAATTAAGACTAATGCACGAATTCAAAAACAAACGAAGTTGTATTAATCGATCAAATTTGATTAAAAATTTAGTTCAATTTAATTCAATCGATAAGTTGATCGATTTTTAATCAATTTAATTATCAATTGACTTTAAAACTCTAATAATTTTTCACCTTAATTAATTCGAATTGCCGATCTGATCCAGTTTTGGCAACATTGCTACATAATTTGAATTTTTTAATAATTCAATATTTAGCTGGTTTGGAATTTGTATCACAGGAATTTTAAAGCAGGTTTATATAATTTACAAAAATAAGGTCCGGTGGACGTTGTGATTAATATATAAGAGCCCACGAGCCAACTGATTCATCAATTAACCATTAACATTACAGATACAATAGTATAATACTGTATATAATATTATAGTGAGGGGTCAAGCTCTCGAGTCGACTGATCAAACAATGGCGGCAGTAGTATAATTAAGAAAACAAATTATAGTATTGAAGGAAGTCATCAATTGCAAAGTTTCTTTTTAGTTCTGTGTAGAATTAACTCTTCTTTCTCTTGAATTGAATAGCTTAGACTGTGTTATCTACCAGAAAAGCGACAAAGTTGAATTATATAATAGCACAGTCTACTAGTATATAAAAGATCTATTCATGGATTTTTTAAAATTATTTTTTCTTTTTCAAAAGGGAAAATAATTTTTAAAAAATATCTATTTTTTGTTATTTAAGAAATCATTTTTTAACCAATTAATATTTTATCAAATAAATATAAAAAAATAAAAAAATTATTTTTTAAAAATTAATTTTCTACAAAACGATCCTTAGTTAAGATTTTTTTTTCATTTTCTTAATGAATGGTGATTAGAGGTGTTCATTTAGTTAGTTCGGTTAATTTTTTCAGTTAATCGAATAATAAATATATTTTTGGTTAACTAAATAATAAATATATTTAAATTATATTATATTTTTAATTTTTAATTTCTCATATTTTAAACAAATTAAATATAATTATCCAATAAAATATTCAAATATCAAAGTATTATATATGTTAAAATTTTTAACAAGTTATGAAATTAAATAATCCATTTCATGTATTTTTTATTTTATAATTAGATTATATTATATGTCGGTTAATTCAATTAATTTGATTTTTTGAATCGAATTAATTAAAAATCAAAATTTTTTTAAAAATTATTTTCATCAATCAATCGAAATTAATTTCGATAATCGATTAATTAATTGAATTAAATTGATTCGATCAATTAATTTGATTAAAATTGAATTATGCACACCTCAAAAGCGATTGTATCATGTGTCTGCATTAAGTTAAAATTATCCCCAAGCTTTTGACCTAATGGTTAAAGATGTTTGAAAATATATTAAAAACCTGATTTCGAGCAAAATCTTCTCTTTCTCTTTTATTTATATTAAAGTTTTGCTCTCCTAATGTAATAAAAAAAAGTTAAAATTGCATGAAAAGAAAAGGGCTTTTAGAATGGCACATTGAAATAGGTCATTCATTATTTGGAGGAAAGGCTGCGGACTTTGCAGCAATGATTTTAGTTGACATGTCTAATTTATTGTTTTAATTTTTATTTTTTAAATCCAAGTGCACACAACGTTTGAAACAAAGGGAAAGATGAGAGCTTTGGCGGTGAGGAGGTTAATTTTGTTTTAGGAGAAAAAGGAGATACATGACTTCAAAGAGGGTAAGATTTAGTTAAAATAAAAAGGGAGGGTGACAGCATTTTCTAATTTAATAATACTCGAATCGATTACAAAATTAAAAATTTTAAATTTTAAATTTGATCATAACTTAAAAAATAAAAAAATAATTTATTTAATGGGTGAAGGGCTATTTTTAGAATAGAAGAGAAACATGGCTTAAACATAAAGGTCAAAATCATTCAAAGAGGATAAATAAAGGAAATTGTGCAACGGAAGAGAAAGATGGATTAAAAGAGAGTACACGTAGTACTGTGGGTTATTGTGTATTGGCAATATTTAGTAATTTGGTCGTGTTATATGATGATGGCTTTTATAAATGGCAAAAGAAAAGTTGTTAGTTGTTCAGCTACCCTCTCCCTTGTATCCAACCCTTCACTTAATTGCCAAAGCTTTGGACTTTGAAGCTCAATCCTGTTCACATTTTCCCCAGCCCGAAGTCACAACTATGTATCTCATGAATTTATTGCTTGAAATGGCCATGTCAACTGGACAAAGCTTTTCCTTTCTATTTTTTAAATATATTAAATTTGTGATATTTGTTCAGCGTTTTACAAAATTCAAATAAGATTAGAAATTTTTTATATTTTTTATTTATCATATTAATTTATTATTTATTTTAAATATGTTTTAATAAAATATATGTTAACTTTTTAATTTTATTAATAAAATTTATAAAATAGTGGATCTTTACGAAAAAAAAAAAAGAGATACGAGAACTCAGTAGTCTTTAATGGGTGGTTGAGGGAAAGAGCTTGATTCTTCCGACGTTGTGAATTTTGGTTTGACTTTTGCTATCTCATGACTGTTCAATTATATTTTTTATTTTTATTTTGTATATGAGAAATGACAGATTGAAGATAAAGAAAATAACTGCAAGTATTAAATTTTAAATTATAGATATGCGATTGAACGTTAGCTTGATATATATATATATATTTACTATTTTTCATAGTCAAATATATTAATTAAAGCGGTAGCTTAATCCCAACAAACATTTCTAGAATCTAAAATCAATACGTGTTTCGCTTTCTCTCCAATCCCTGTGAACTCGTGTGTTTACCAAACTTCAAAGGACTGCAAAAAGTCGAAAAGTCGGCTTTAGCTTAAGCCCATGCATGCTTACTAATCAAAAAAGATTAGAAAATTATGGAAAAGACACATATATAGGGATATACATAAGCACAAGTACACGTGCCAGTTTCAAAAGGATTTTCATGTTTTTTTCCCTTATCAAGTTGAATCATAGATAGAGCAGTCAAAAGAAAATAAGAGAAGTTTGTTGAACAGAAAAATGAATTAAGATACTAAAAAAATTACTTATAATATTTTAAATTAAATTGAATCGAATCCGATTTAATTTTTTATAATAAATAATATCATAAATTTTTAAATTTTAATTTAAATTTGATTTGATTTTTTTTATAATTTGATTTAAATTAAATTTTATTGATTTAGTTTAATTAATTAATTTTTAATTTTTAAATTTTTTATATATTATTTTTATATAAAATTTTCATACATTTAAATAAATTTATATATAAAATAATTATTTTATTTAATAAAAATTTAAAATATATCTAAAAACTAATAAATATATATAATTTGATTCGATTTCATTTTTTTTTAATTTTTCACTTCTTAATTTAAAATTCAATTTAAATTTAATATATATTTTTAATATTTAAATTTAAGTCAAATCAAATAAAAAATTAATTCAAACCAAATAAAATATTATAATTTTAAATTAATTTTTTATTTTTTCCCTTGTACATCAAATTAATAGGCATCAATTAAACTCAAAATGTAAGGCATAAATAAACAAAAATAATATTATATATATATATATGTATATGTGTATCTGAATTTGGAACTCCCACCAACGCCAAGGTGCTATTACGGGAATAAGAGCATTTATTTGAAGATCAACTTGCAACTTGCAAACAGCCCATCATACATATAGAGACTTCACCCAAAACTAAACGCTCTCTTTTTTCAACTTTCGGTGGATTCGATTTCTTTATTGTTCCTAATTTGTTTTTAAAGTCTTAACATTAATAAAAAAAATTGAAAATATATCTACAAGACCCTAATTATCGAATTAAAAATCATAAAATAATTTTAGTTCATAATGCCTAGTGACTATATAGTAACTATAAATGGCCTCTCAGGGCTGCTTCTATCGTCCTCTCATTCTTCAGCCTCTCTCTCTGTGTCTCTCGATCTCTTCCCAAAATGGAAAGACCACTCAACTCTGCGACTCATCCAATTTCGACTCGGTTCCTTTTTCTCCTCATCAGTTCATTTCTTTTCACGTCGACATGGCCATGCATCGAAGCTGCAGCCACCCAAGAGCTTCTTACAAGCTTTGAAGCCACCCCAAATCCTTCAATTCCCTCATTCCAACCTCTCCTTAACGATTCCTCAGGCAAGTTCTCTTTTGGTTTCCTCCGATTCAACTCAACCCAACTAGCTCTGGCCGTCCTGCACGTACCTTCCAGTGAACCCCTCTGGCTCGCCAACCCCACCACCTTGGCTCGCTGGTCAGACAGCACGAAAGTCTTCTTCAATGGCAGTCTTGTGATTGCAGATAGCCGGACAAAGGTGTTTTGGTCAACTGAAACCCAAGGTGACCAGCTTGTCCTACTTAATAATTCAAATCTTCAGATACAAAAAAACCTCGACAACAGCAACGACCCTACTGTTTTATGGCAAAGTTTCGATTTTCCCACAAATACCCTTGTGGAAACTCAAAATTTCACTTCTACCATGACCCTCATTTCTTCAAATGGCCTGTATTCAATGCGTCTAGGTAGCGATTTCATTGGGTTGTACGCTAAATTTGACTCAAATTCTGACCAAATTTATTGGAAGCACAAAGCTTTACAAGCCAAAGCTCGGATTATTGAAGGTAATGGACCGATTCACCTCCAAGTTAACTCAGATGGGTGGCTGGGAATGTACCAAAATGGAACAACCCCGGTCGATGTTGAATCTTTTAACAGCTTCCAACGATCCCTTGATGGACTCCTTATGGTCCGGTTAGAACCGGACGGGAACCTCAAAGCTTATTACTGGGCCGGGTCAAGTTGGGTTTTGGATTACCAAGCCATTCGTGAAACTTGTGACTTGCCGAATCCCTGTGGTTCGTACGGTTTGTGTACTCCCGGGTCGGGTTGTTCTTGTTTGGACAATACTACGGAGCTCTCATCCGGTGAGTGTTTGGGCTCCGGGTCCTACTTAAATAATTTGTGTACCGACCCGAAAACTCAAAACGACATCAAGGTTTTAAGAAGAGAAGGGGTAGAGGTGCCGTTTAAGGAGTTAATGAATTATGAAACAACGTCGTCTTTGGAAGAATGCGAGGACTCGTGTGAAAAGAATTGTAGTTGTTTTGGGGCCGTTTATAATAATGCATCCGGGTTTTGCTACATCTTGGATTACCCGGTCCAAACCCTGTTGGGAGTGGCGGATGATAGTAAAGTGGGGTACTTTAAAATGAGGGAGGGTGCCAGAAAGAAAAAAGTGGATGCAGGTTTAGGAGTGGGGATTGGGCTATTAGGTGGGGCCGCAATATGTTTGATCGGGGCAATCGGGTTTGGAAGCTACAAGATTTGGATGAGTAAGAGAGGACTGAAGCGGATCTTGGAGGAAGAAACGGGTGGTGTAATGTCCGGCCCGTATAAGGATCTCGGATCGGCTAGCTTTAGGTCGATCGAGATGTGCAGTGGGAGTCGTCGATAACTCGAGAAAATTATAATTTCATATTCGATTTTTTAAGAAAAAACATTTTAAAAGTAAAAATAAAATTAATATTGGTATGATGACGTAAGCAGTGACATAGGAGTGGGGGGTTTGACAAAAAATTTGAGGAACACCACTAACTTTAGACGGCCGAGCAGATGTGGGGTAAACTTTTTGTCTTTTGTTTTTTGGGATTTTTTTGGTTTCTTCTAGATGGTAATGGGATCATGGGACCAAGCTAATCCTAATTGACGATCTTTTTATATAAATTTTGTATAGTGTATTTTATTTATGTCGATGATGGTGGATTCTTCACGTGGGATCATGTGGGCCACACTTGGATGAATTTGTCTACACCTTTTTGTATTTTCGTCCTCGACAACCATGATAGTGTAGTAAAAATCTCTCACCTTAAAACTCGATACAAGTAAAAATCTTATACATATTGTTTGTATAAAAAAATGGATCCAATGGCAGGTACTTGAAAAAAAAAATGAAGACAGGGCACAAGTTGATTCAACGTTTGTTCTTTATGCTTAAATTAGTAAGTAGGTTTTTTCACTTTCATCAGCCATCATTAATTGTTTCATTTTACTTACAATATCATATTTGGGGTGTTTAGAACGAATATATTTTTGTAATTATATATATGTTTAATTTTAATTTGAAGTTGCGCCTCATATGTTTTCCGAAAAATTAGCAATTATCTATACTGTAAATTTTGATATGTTGCAGTTGTTTCGTTTGCTACTCAAATCTTTGTCCTTCCTATGTTTTATGTCAAAAGCCGAAGATAGTCACATGGGCCGACTAGAAAAAGAGCCTCAGGTGTATTAGAAAAAGCAGCTCAGAACGAGACTCCTAAGCCCAAACATGAAATTCAGTCAGAACTTTCCTATGTATCATTCTCGGAGTCGGAGGAGAAACAATTCCTATGGCTTTATTCTTTCTTTCCTTTGTACCCAAGGGGTAACTATATATTTTTACACCATTCATAATAATTGGACATCATATTTTGTCACCTTTCACCATCATAGTCCTCAATTTCTTGACCTTTTACAACAGGAAAAGTACTTGTTTCACCCTTTCCTAGCATTTTTTCGTTTTTCTTTTCATCTAATCAGTTTGTAAATTTGACCTTTGTCTCTTTTCAATGATAACTTTGGAACCGTGGAGGCTATTGCTAATACCATTGTCCATCGAAAGCAAGTCATCAATTTTAAAGTGATGCAAAAAATTTATAACAAATAAGCAATTTATGCTATGACAATTATATAACTGAGTGCAAAGTTGGAAATGATTTTCGTTAATGAGCTTCTGCAAGTTTGAAAATCATTGGAGAATCCTTCTAGTTTCTACCTTAGAAATCCATTTGACAGTGTTTTATATTAAATCTGATTAAAACCAATTGGCCATCATATTAGTATTTCTCTTCTAGAAGTAGCAAATGGATGAACTAATTAACATACACAAGGGATAAAGATATAAATATAAAAGTAAGCCACGCTAGAATAGATGATATTTGATGCAGCTGGCCATTTACTCCAAAGTTAAGGAACTGTTGTCATAATATTCTTCAACTAGAAAAGACCTTCCTGCAAAAATTTTCTAGGGCAGAAAGGGATACAGAGTACATAGTGGAATGGGAGTGGTAATTATTGTAAACATTGAGATATCAATTGCTTTTGGCTGAAGGCTGTTTTCTTAAGTCTTCTTCAGGGGATCCAATTCTTTTCTCAGTGCTAGAATTCCAGTTTTGCTCAGATATAGTGCCTGAGCCTGACATGTAAGAAATTGTGCTAAGAATAATGAATGACTGTCACTGTTTTTCTGGTGTCTGCCCCTTTACCTGTTTGTTATTGATTGTATCAGATATGATCATTTATGTCAGCTAGGCAGCAAGTACTTGGTGCAATTCTTTTTCTTTTGTCTTAAAGCACCTTAACTGGAGTTAATAGATTTATTATAGTCATGTTCTCAGGTATAAGTAAGATGCCATTGGAGGTGGTAGTTTAAGTGTTTGATATCAACTTGAAGAAGTCCTTTGGTTGGTGTATCTAATTAGTTGACCTGTTGAGATTGATTTGGGGACCAAAATGGGGATTTGAAAAAAAGGATATTGAAAGGCACCTTGTGTTTTCATGTTCTTGAGTCCACAAAAAGTCATTGCTGAACCTCTTCCGGCTTTCAGTCTTTTTCTTTCCTTCCTTACTGGCAGGAAAGCGCTAATTTCTAGACTTGACTCGGACTTATAAAACAGAAGGTTTGCTTCTGAATTGATCGGTCAATACACAAGCAAATTTGTTTCATATGTACATCTGATACTGCAATATACTGGTTCCTTTTTCCTTTTCTTTTCCGTCTTTTGGCTTGTAAGGGATAAAAAATTTGAGTGGACAACCACGGAGTAAAGAGGTTTAGCCCTTTCTATCGATGATGCCTATTTTCTATTGAGTTGCCGGTGCATCCAGAAATCACAGTCCACTCAAAAATTTAAGGTGGAATTAGAAAATCCACCCCATGGAACTTGCATGAGATGGTGACGTTTTGCCAAGGTTGTTCAGCATACTTGAATAAGGTTCACTATAATTGGTCCACTCAAACATACCAGCATAATCAGTTAGGTATTTGATCTTTTAATGGAAAGAAGTTTGATTGAAAATGGTTTTTTTTTAAGGTTTTTGGTAGGCGAAAGGAGAGGGTGGTTTCTTAAGTAATGGAGCCTAATGCACTCTTTTAATTAACCATTTATATGTAAGTTGACTAATTTGAAGGGGGTGATAGGCTAGGTGTTTAATTCCCATTTAGTGCAATAAAGTATAGATATGGGAATTGAAATTTAAGAAAAGAAATCCAACTTAATTTTCTGCCCAGTTAAGGGAGTCTTTTCCGCTAATTCCGATTGAAATACAAATTTGGAAACTGTATTCTTCATCTGATGCCCTGAAGAACATAGTTTCAAGTAGTTGAGATGGAGATATAATGAGTCTATTAATTAGATAAGTTGGTACCAAGCTCTTTTATTGTAAGAGAGAGGTTGGAAGTTGCTTTCCTTCTCTTTATGGCTTTCCTTCTCTTTATGGCTAGCAATCAACTTGGCTTTTGTTTTGCTAAAAGTAGCTTCTGATTCTGGAGGCTGGGGTTATCCTGAAAAAGATGAAGCCAAAATGAGAAAATAATGTGATCAATTCGGCTTGAAGAGAATGAACAGTTTCTGATCATGGATTCCAAATGTGTTGTCCATCTTATTTCTATGATTTGTATAACATTCAGATCGAGACTTCAAGTTGCAGGAAGTACAGTAGAAGAATAAATTCCAAAACTCAATATCACAGAGAGGTGAAGCTGGCTGAAACTCACTTTTCATTAGTTAGTTTGAAAATGCATAGAAGTGGGCCATATATCAACCAGAAGATGCATACAGAATATCTGAAGGAGTTCAAACTCTTTTTTTTTTTTTCTGTCACAACCTGTTACTATTTTTTTCTAAAAATTTGTCCTCTTGTGCAATCCTGGGATTGGGAATGAAGGCAAGGCAAGAAAAGTAAATTTCAAGATTTACTGCAAGAATGGATGTTTCCTGACCTGGAATGAGAGAGTGAACTAGTTCCTAAAGAAGAAAGGAATAACTCTCAGTTGGCTTTTATTTGCTCTTGTAGTTAATCGTAGGCAATGAATATGATGAAGGTGATGTTGCACATTTAAACTCTGCAACATGGCATTAGTGTTTTTCTAACATGGATTCATGAACCTCAAAAGATTGTTATAGAGAGGATCCAAGGCAGATGAGTTTTGTGTATTAAATTCTGGTTGTTTGCTAATGGAATGGTGATCCAAAATTTAGCCTCTTATGCCCTGGACCATGATCAAACAGACATGCTATCTGTCTGTTTAACCTGTTTTGTAAAATCTTAAATATGAAGTTTGGGTTATTGTCTATCATCTTAAACTTTAAGATAATTAGTCCTCAAATCCTCAAATTATCTGATTGATATGAACAAACATTTGTTGTTTTTTGAGTAAAATCTGCGACTTACAGCCAGAAACAAGTAAAACTTGTTACAGTCCAGGGAATTTTTTTAAAAAAATATTCAATGAAAATTGCATTCAGAAATCAGAAAACCTAGATTCTTACTTGATTAAGGTGTTTGCTTGATGCCAGGCTGTATTTGAACATCATAGTTAAATTGTCACAATGGAATATAACTCCTACTCGCTTTCTGCTATGACAACTTCGTAGGTTGAAGAACCTCGAAATCAAATCTGGTCCCCAACATCTTGAGCACAGTTCATGGGTAATTATGGGAAAGACAATATGGGAAAATATTGTTGTGTCCACTTTCAGCTCCAAAGATGTAATAACGCCATAACTTTTTGTGAATTGGTATGCAAAAATGAGAAATGCCTACACATCACTTTTAGAAACATCTCTTAATAAACATTTCACATATTTGAAATTATAGTACAATATTTGTCTGCATTTTTTTTCATATTAAATGTTTAAATACATGTCATTTTCATAACAACTATGCAAATTCTTTTCCCTTTATGGAAGCAACTTTCTCCAAAAACCTGTTCGAAGAATAAGAAAAATCTCCGAGAATCTAACAATCTTTTCATCTTATTTGTTGCTGAATCAAGTCTTTGTTTACTCCATCTGATATTCTGCAATCCTAGGCTTCTATCCCAAACCAAAAATCCTATAGTGGTACTTTTTTTCTTTCGGCTTATGATTCTTGTTTATCTTTAAGGATGTCCAATCAGTAATCATGTCCAAACTGTTGCCTAGCTGCCATGTCTTTGATTAGTTAATTATGGTGGTTTTCGTTCTTAATTCTGTAATAAAAACGTTTCCCAATTGTAGTTGTAAAAATTTGATGAGGTAGATCCCGACGCAGCCCTTAAAAAAAAAACTGCGATACAGCAAATATTTTACTTACCATTTTTACCTTTTTCCCTCTACTCATCACATCACATCCACCCATACCTTGTAACTGTCACATGATGAATGGCTGAGATGGGGAAAATAGAGGAATTAATGGAAATGATGAACCCAATAGTCGCTAAAATCAATATCAACAACAGAAAATTTCCCATGAAATATCTCGAAAATTTCACTACAAAAATAGGTTAAGCGGTTATCATGTAAATATTATTACAATTAATGGGAGTTATTTTACAATTTGAGGATGTGAAAAGCTTATGTTCATGTCTGAATTGTATTTTTCCTATTGGTTTTTATAACATTTCTTTCAGAACAAAAAAAGTTCAGGTTTTATTCTGTAACTGATATTGAAGGAGTAATGGAGAGAAGAGGCTAGCCAGGCTTATGGGGAATCCTTCACTTCAGTCACTGTTGTCTTTAGCTGTAGTAGGTGAATCTGAAGAAAGATTTTAATTTATGGGACCATAACTCACTATCATTAATTCATCGTCATCACCATCAGTCCAGACCCATGTTATCCAATAGAATTCAAAGTCACCCCCCAATCCCATGTGTCTATAAAGTCTATGAATCAAATTCCTCTTGTTTTGGTTGTACCTTGAGACTTAAATTGATTGTATTATTCCCATTCATCCAATATTAGAATACTACATTTTTATTATTCCCATTCATCCAATATTATAACGGTATATTGTCACAGAAAACTAGGAACCGATAGCCGAGTCTTCGTTACTGCATCAATGTATATTTTTTATTAGTTCAGAATTGAGAGTAATATTTTTATATTGCCAGTGTGGGATCAAGTCAACAGTTTAATTGATATTAATTTAATCATTCTAATGAACAGGCACATGAAGCTAAAGAACAAAAAGTAATGGTCTTGGCTTGTAATTTTCATAAAAGAAAATTTAAGGATAATAGAATCGTATTTAATGTACACGGCTGGCTTGGAACATGGATTTCAGTTTTTTATTTTTTGCCCTTTTCATTTCTATGGCTGTTTTTGGTTTTTGTTTTTTTTTTTTTCCCACTGGGAAATAGAAAAGACAGTCCACATGGGACACACAGAGGAGAGTACTAATCTTTTGTCACCTTCAATCTTCCAATTATTTTCAGTAGCCTAACAAAGGAAGAGTAACTAATCAGTGTTTCCATTTTCTTGTGCCTGACGCAAGGAAGAGTAACACCTCTTTCTTTTTGCCTCCCTGTTTCTCCAGCATATATTCCAATTGAAGGGAAAAAAATCTTAATTTTCATCTTCCTTTTCATTTTCTTTCTGGGATTTTCTCAACAATGAGGAGCATAGCATCTTGTTACAGTGAACACGCCATCAAAGTGTCGGACTCTTATTGTTCAGGGCCTTCAGGTCAGGCCTATCTCTCTCCCAACCTTGCTCCTTCAACCCCAAATACTGTAACGTGTATATACAAAGCTAAAATCTCCTCTCAAAGAAAACTTCTGATCACCCTCACATGGTGCAACAACTTAATAGGCCAAGGCTTAACGATCAACGTTGGTGAAAGCCTGTCTACTCCATCTAAATTCAACTCCAATTCTCACCAACTGAGAAAGAAAAAAGGCAGCAAAACATTCAAATCTTGCAATTCAGAGATTGAAGTCTATTGGGATATCTCTAATGCTCGGTATATCAACGGACCTGAACCAAGTACCAACTTTTCTGTCATAGTTTTAGTTGACTCAGAACTCTGTCTACGTCTTGGGGATATGAATGAAGAACTAAATGTCAAAAACATTCGATCAGAACAAGAAGCAACTCCAAAATTCTCATTGGTTTCACGAAGTGAAAATTTCATAGGCAGTACTGTTTATTCAACAAAGGCACAATTCTGTGATACAGGATTGGCTCATGACATTTTAATCAACTGCAGTGGAGGAGAACAAGGTTGTAGAAATCCTGTATTGTCTGTCTGCATTGACCAGAAGAAGATTTTTCAAGTGAAGAGATTGAGATGGAATTTCAGAGGGAACCAAATAATTTTCTTGGATGGATTATTGGTGGATATGATGTGGGATTTGCATGATTGGCTCTTTAATCAAACATCAGGCTGTGCTGTTTTTATGTTTAGAACAAGGAGTGGGTTGGATAGCAGGCTTTGGTTGGAAGAAAATAGCAGCAGCTTGGAACAGAAGGAGAAAGAAAGAGCTGAGTTCTCCTTGTTGATCTGTGCTTGTAAGAGTCCTGACTAGTTCTTTGTTATTAGTTAAATTTGATTGGTTTTTTTTTTATATATATATAATAACTGATCTAAAGTACTTTTTTTTTGTTTTTTTAAAGAAAAATACTTTTCATTGTAGATTTTTAAATATTAAAGAAGATAGATAGTTAATCTTCTGATTATAGAAGAAATATATGCTTAACTTGGAGTGGGGGAAATGAATTGCTAGAGTTGTAAACAATGAAATTGTAAATGAAACTTCTTCAATGGATTGCTTCTGTCTTACTGTTACACAGGCACAGATAAGGCAAAATTGGTATATTTTTTCCTTGATGATGTGCTTTTAATGAAACTTTTCCTTCAACCCTCACCCTTCCTTTCCCTCCTCCTTTCCTCTGCTCTTTTTCTCCTTTCTCCCTTTTGTCCTTCAGGACATTAAGCAAGTCAATGGAGGGTGGTTTGCAATTACACTATTGAAACTTTGCATTAGAGAGATAGATCCCTATGAATACAATTACTTTTTTTTTTAGAATGTTAAATTTTTAGTTTTAATAATCAAGGTTTAATCTCCATAACCTCAATACAAAATAAAAACTCCTTTTTAATAATTAAGACAATAACCTTTTTGTCTCTTTCATTATATATATTGAATAAAGAAGCAATGGTCATATTCAAATGCTAGGGAGCCACATGTTTTTTGCTTGTAGAAATGAAACTGATAGGATTCTGTTACGAATCAACAATAACCAATAGGAATTAATATATAGTTTCGTACATTGCTTTCGGATTGGGATTGATCAGAAAGGATTTCTTTTGGTAATGAAGCCAAAGATGCAATTCCCTGTTCCTAACTGGAAAAAGGGTTTTTTCTTTCTCTACCCATTTTTTTCCCTGATTAACCCAAAACTAAAAACAGGAAAGAGCCTCACCATGAGCCTCTGGCATTCCAAAAGAAAGTATTTGTGAAACAATTCTAAACTTTCACCCTAAAAAAAGAGAACAACTTAGTAACGGCCGGGTCTGAATATCTTAATTGTTTTTCATTGTTTGATTTTTCTATATAAATTGTTTTTAATTGTTTAATTTTTCTATATATTTTTATATATGAATATTAATTTTTTTGTTTGTGTGAAAATGGGTCGTCAAAGGATTTGGATATGCGTGATTAAAAGAGATTTTTACCGTCTGAAATGTACCCTTAAGAATGAGGCTTGTTGAGCCAGAATCAAATCCTCAGCAATACCTTACAATTCAATTTAGAAGGCCATTTGGAACTACAATGTTCACAAACCAACCTCCAATCTATCTATCCAAAGTGTCCCTTGTCAACCCTCCATTGGGATTTCTTTTTTCCTTGATAATGATTGATGAGAAACGCATAATTTGTTTTTAAGAGCAAGGACTTGACACATCTCAATTCTGTCTCAACTAATCTCACAACCCTTTCAATATAGTATAAGGGATCCATGTGCCATTAAAAATAAAAATAATTGAAGTTAACACTTCAATTGAGTGAATGGTTTTAAAATCAAATCATGAAGGAAAAAAAAAATACATTTTAGTAATTGTCTTTCTCGTTTATTATAAAAATAATTTAAGATTCTTCTATCAAGGAATGAAACGATTGTAGTCGTTGGGAGAAAAACAGTACATCAAAGCATTTTGTTATTTATGTTCGATTTGAATTTTTTTAAAAAAATTAATCTCTTTGTCTCTCTCTTTATATATATATCCTAAAATTATGTTTTTTTTTACATCTAAAATTCTTACTTTTTATATTTTAAAATATATTTTATTATGTTTTTAATTTTTTTATATTAAAAATCATAAAATTTTAATTTTATAAAAAATTTAAATTTTAATATTAAATACATTAAACTTCAATTTTTTTTTTTAAATTCCGTAAAGGTCAATACAATAAATTCTGAATTTGAATTGCATTCTCATTATATTATACAAGAATTATGTGCACCTACCTTCCGTGGGTGAAAGAAAAAAAAAGGTGTGAAAAAATGTGTTTTAAAAGAAAAAAAAATGTTACATATAGTAGTTTTAAGAAGTGAGTAATTTTTTTTAAGAAAAATATGTAATTTATTTTTAACAATATTATAAAAAAACTTGAAAAACCAAAATACTCCTATTTCATTTATTATTTGAAATCATGATTTTTTTAAATTTTTTTTCACAACAGAATTGATATCATATGATTCGATGGCATCAAATTTAATTGTTTATTTATAGTATAAAATAATAAAATGTATAAAATTAAAAATATACTATATTGTTTTAAGCATGATTGAATGACAAGAATAATCAATTTAAAATGGTTATTGAGTTAAGCTTTAATTAATCGCATCCCATCACATCCTACATTAATTGGATTGAATCTTTGAAAGAATAACATTTGTAACTTTATGTTAGATTAATATATTAAATGTTATAAAGTCTAAAACTCATAAGTTTAGATTTAGTTCACTAAAAAAAAAAAAAAAACTCGTAAATTTAGATTTGATTTCGAGTAATTGTATTTTGGGAGTAAGAAAATTTTCATCATTTTGTTATGTCTTCACAAATTTAGGGTATGGAATTTTGGCATGGTTCCCTTTCCAACTTGCCACTCGCCATAGTTAATGGCACGAGGCTCGTTCATTATGGAGCGTTGACCACATGAGCTGAAAATGTGAACATATTAACTATAATTTTTAATATAATATTATAATTAATTAACCATAATAAAAAAATTATATAAAAACTTATCATTTAAAAATTTAGATTTCAGATACATTTTTAAAAATTTATATAATACTAAATTATAATTGACTAACTGTATTATAATAATTATAAATAATGATCTGGTTTTTGTTTTGGTTCGTTGAAAGGATGAAAGCCCAAAAGTGTGGGCTGTCTGCTTGGGCTTAACTAGAAAGGCTTCGCCAAGGCACTCATTTGTTCGATTCCTATTGACCTTGGTGTTAAGTATTGACTTTTTTGGTTCGTTTGGTTGTTTACTCTAAATCATGGTATTACTACTTGAGTCATTTTATTAGCTACAAGTTTATTTATTCTGTTGCATATCTACCTTTTAATCTACACAATTTTGTAAAAATATATATACATTTAATCTACACATCATTTAAAAAAAAAATTCCACTCATACTGTCATTGGAAAGAAAAAATTGGCCAAAATCCATGATTTTTTATTTGACATGGTTTCTTTCTTTAGATTGAGCCTGATTTTATTCAAATTAATTTAAAATATTAAAATATTAAAAAACTCTTGAACTATTTAATTTTATTTAAAATAAATTTTTATATTTTTATCGTATCCATATAAATTTTGATCGTTTCATTTGTATTTATTTAACTTTTATTTCAAATAAAAAATTAATTTATGTTAAGAGTTTATTAATATATAAATTAAAATTTTATTTGAATACAAATAAAAAATTAAAAATTTATTCAGATATAATAAAATATAAAGGTTCATTTAAATAAAATGATAAAATATATGAATTTTTTTTAATTTTAGCTTAATTTAAAAAACCCTTACTATATATTATGAAAAACATTAAAAAAAACATTATTTAAAATAACAATTACATCTTGGTTTGTCACACCATTAATACTCTAATTCTCTAAATGCTTATTAATCATACTTTGCTTCATAAAATATAGATTTTAAAGTTAAAATTTATCTATTAGGACACACTTTAACAAGGAAAAAAAAAAAAAGGAGAACCTTTAAAACAGCAACCCAATATGGCTAACTATGTTGTCGACCCAACTTTTTATTCTTAAATAGGGAAAAGATTAACTGAAAAAGGTAATTATAATGCTACTAAATTGGGTTTCAAAAATACCACATCTGATGGTCCATTCAAGCATATTTATTAGATATATATAAATAAGTGATTGATTTAATTAATTAAAAATTATTTTTATTAATAAAAATATTTTTAATTTAAATCTTACTTATAATTATTTATTATAATCATCTTAAATATATAACTTATAATTATTTATTTTAAATTATCGAGTAAAAACGAAATTGGGAATCCAAATTCAATTACAAAAACAAATCAATGTTGACTATATAGGTAGGCACAGACGGCATCAAGCACGCCGCTTCTAAATTTATCATTCGCGTGTTTCAGTCCACTTGTCACAATAGCCGATGGCTATGTTTTGGCAGACAAAAGACTCGTTTTAAACATTAAATTATCAGTAAACTGTTTGCTGCGAAATTCGTGGCCATAAAAATGAGGGGATCTATTGGACCAAACCAATTTAAACCAACAATTTTGTTTTATTAATCTTAATCTGGATTCACGCTTATTTTGTTGATGATTGAACTTTTTTTTCCTTTTTTTTTTTATGATTTTTATTCTGACTCAATTAAGAATATAAGATGTATCAGAATTTTGGGTTTATTTTAAAGTTCTGATGCTTTGGCAGAGTGCATGCAAATTACCTCTAGAATCCTTTAATAGGAATTTACTTAATTGGATAACTTTTAAGAGTGCCCTTGAGCCATTTTTTATTAACACTTTTATAAAATATATATAATTCGCATTTGAGATGAGAATAATTAATTTTTGGTTTTAGGGCGTGATCAGTGACGTTCTCAGTTGTCAACTTGCACATTAGACATTACTGATAGGTTTTTTTTTAATTAATTTATTATTATTATTATTATTAGCAGTTTTTTTTATTAAAAATAAAACTTCAAATCCAATTTTTGAAGTTGAAAAAATTACATTTAACTATGAATTAAACGCTTGGATCAATATTTTTTATAAAAAATTATAATTTAAAAAAAAATAATTATAACTACTTAAATTTAACTTTTAAATTTATTAAATTTTAATTTTTAAAAATAATTATATAAATCAATTAAATTAAATTAAATTTTAACTTCCACCAGCGAGATTATTTAAAGCAAATTTTGAGCAAATTTAAGTAGGATCATTTCGTTGACTTCAAGTAATGCGATTGGGCGTTGGTACTTGATTCTTGGCAGGTGACAAGCGGCTTTAGGTATTTGAGTAAAAAGGCGTACAAACCTGCTTCAAGCACAATTATCTCATTTAACTTATATGTTTTTTTATGGGATTAATTGTTATTAACATTACTTTTTTGTTTTATGTCAAACATATAATTATATAATTATCCCATGTACATCAAATAATTAAGACACATTCAGGTGGCTTCCTGTTCTATAATGTTTTTGGGTAATTGTTTTGTTTAATAGCACTTCCAAAATGATTCATGCAGCGGTTTTTAGTAAAAGTGATATTGGTTTGAATTAAAATATATTTAATTTAATTTTTTTAAAGTAAAATAAGATATTATAAGATTTTGAAATTCGATTTGAATTTAAATTGATTTTTAATACATTCAATTCAGATCAAATTTTATAATTTTAATTTATTAAATTTTAAATTTTATTTTTTAATTTATATATTATTTTAATATAAAATTTTAATATATTTAAATAATTTTACATATAAAATAAAAACAGATATTAAATATTATAATTTTAAATCGATTTTTAAATTTTTATTTTTTACTCCTAATTTATTTGTCAGATGTGAGCGTGGCAGGTGACACAAAAAGGCACACCTGAACCGGAAGTGAGCGAGAAACACTGCCAAGCCAAACCTAATAGTCTTTGTTTGCTGAAAAAGGAACCTGAACCTAATCCGCGGGGTTTGGTACGTCGCTCTCCGTTTTGGTTTGTTTTAGTATCGTCCAATTTTCATGTTCAAACCAAACACTTCCCCTAAAAGCCTCTGTCCCACATGATTTCCGATGGTTGGTTTTGACCCTTCACAATTTCCCCTTCCTACCCACCTCTTTCACCGCACTTTTTGAGAAACCTTTTGAAACGCCTTTTTCAGTGTTTATTTCCAATTCTGACCTTCGGTTAATATCCATGCGACAAGCCCAAGAAAAGTGGAAATAAAAATTCTTACATTTTATTTCCTTGAATTTAATGATGACTTAATAATCCAATCATAAATTCATTTTTCGTAGATGTTACAAATTCTTTTACGTAGATGACTTAATCATAATTATCAAGCAGATGTTTAATATTAAAATGAAATCTAAAATTTTCATTGAAAAAGTTTTAAAAAATTTGAATCTAACTTTTGAATTAAATATACAAATATTTTCATTCTCTTTTATAATAGCTAATAATTCATCATAGAATATAGTTGTTTTGAATTTAATTATATCTTATAAAAATATCATTATAGATTAAAAAGTTGTGAAAATTAAAAATTAAAAATTTGATGTGTTAATATTATTTTTAAAAATAATTATATAAATTAACGAATTAAATTTTAAATTCAATATTAAATTTAATGTAACATAGACTAAACTTCACCTTTATTCATATTGCTACAAATTAGAAATACAAACACATATTAATAATCAAATTTAAGAAAAAGAAAAAGGCAAGGGAAGGCCAAGGTGAAATGTGGTTTTTTTTTTTTTTGGTTGGCCAAGGCAAGGATGAAATACAGAGAGGTAAATGCAAAATTCGGTGGGGGTAAAAGAGTAAAAGAAAGAAGCAAAAAAAAAAAACTGTGGCCACGAGGAAAGATTCAACGGCCGTACACCGTTACTAATTTACTTTGGAAACGGGAGAACAGAAATAGCGACAATCTCGAAACTAACCCCCACACCTACTCACTCACTTCACTTTCTTTCATTCATTGCCCATTTTACCCTCCTACTTTCCCTTTTAAAAACCCTAAACCCTCCACATTTCGCTCTGTTCCTTCTCTCTCTTTTTTAACCAAACAAAGTCTCTTACCTTTCTCTCGTTTACCTTTCAATCATGTCTTGCTTCATTAGCAAATATGCCGGTAATCTCTCTTCTCTTTCTCATTCGATTTGTTTTTCTTTTTTGCATTCTTGGTGTTAATTTTATGTTTATAATAATCTTAACAATCTCTTTGATCGATCTTAGTTTCTTCTTTAGTTTCTTGGTCTAATCTGTCTGATGTTTGATAATTTGACGAGAAAGCTTCGTTAGTTGACTAATAGATCAGGTTGGGCTTTCTTGCGATCGGATATTGAGTTGGCATTAACTAAATTTATTGTTCCGTTCTCTTTAATAGAAAGAAACATAATAAATCTTTAATAGAAAGAAACATAATACATTTTTCCTAATTATTAATTAAAATCCAATCAACTTGCTTTTTTGGTTAATTTTTATGGTATCTAAAAAAGCTAGATCTGTTTGCATGTAGATCTGAGATTACTGAACGTTATACATTCACGCTTAGGTTACTTTAGTTTCTCCATGTTTGGATATCTGTTTCTTAACCCTTTAATGGTGAATTGATGGCTTGAATTTTTTTCATAAACAATCTTGCAGATGAGCTAGCTAAAAACGCTGCCTACATTGGCACCCCTGGAAAGGGTATCCTTGCTGCCGATGAATCCACTGGCACAATCGGCAAGCGTCTTTCCAGCATTAATGTAGAGAATGTTGAAGAAAACAGGCGTGCTCTCCGTGAGCTTCTCTTCACTACTCCCGGAGCTCTCCAGTACCTCAGTGGTGTTATTCTCTTTGAGGAAACCCTCTATCAAAAAACCGCTTCTGGTATAATTACTAAACATGCTCGTTATGCATTTTTTTTAAAGAATGTATGGTTTGTTGTTGGTTTCTGATAATTGGCTTTTGATTGCAGGGAAGCCCTTCGTTGATCTTTTGAAGGAAGGTGGTGTACTCCCCGGCATTAAAGTCGACAAGGGTACCGTTGAGCTTAATGGAACCAATGGTGAAACTTTTACCCAGGGTCTTGATGGCCTTGCCCAGCGTTGCCAGAAGTACTACGAAGCTGGTGCTCGCTTTGCCAAATGGCGTGCTGTTCTTAAGATTGGCCCTAATGAGCCAACTGAACTTGGAATCCAAGAAAATGCCAATGGGCTAGCCATGTATGCTGCCATCTGCCAGCAGTGTGGCCTTGTCCCCATTGTCGAACCTGAAATCCTTGTTGATGGACCACATGACATTAAAAAATGTGCTGAGGTGACAGAGCGTGTCCTTGCTGCTTGTTATAAGGCTCTAAATGACCACCATGTCATGCTTGAGGGTACACTTTTGAAGCCTAACATGGTGACCCCTGGTTCTGATTCCCCGAAGGTTGCACCAGAGGTTATTGCCGAGTACACTGTCCGTGCCTTGCAGCGAACTGTCCCTCCTGCCGTCCCTGCTATTGTATTCTTGTCTGGTGGACAAAGTGAGGAGGAGGCTACCATTAACCTTAATGCCATGAACAAGCTCCAGACCAAGAAGCCATGGTCGCTTTCATTCTCATTTGGACGTGCCCTTCAGCAGAGCACTCTCAAGGCCTGGGCTGGGAAGGAGGAGAATCTGAAGAAGGCCCAAGATGCTTTTCTCATTAGGTGCAAGGCTAACTCCGAGGCTACTCTTGGTAGCTACAAGGGTGATGCAAGGCTTGGTGAGGGGGCTGCAGAGAGCCTCCATGTCAAAGACTACAAATACTAAGAATTTAGGCTTGTGGTCTAATGTGTCATAATTTGCAGAGTAAATTGCCTTATGGATATTAGGCTTTTAGGGGTTTTTTGGAGGTTTCTTTGATTTCTCATTGAATTTAGCGGGTAAAATGAGACAAATAAGCTTGGGGAGCCTTTGTGCTCGTTGAGTGTGGATGAGTTTTGTTTATTTCAGTTAAAAACAATATTCTCTGCTTATTATATAAATGAGTTTAAGACCGCATTTTAGCACAAACATGATTTGGTTCTATTCTTTTATTTTTGATTGGTATGGAATTGTTGCTTTTCTTGATTCGTTTAATCATAATCCTATTTACTACATAAGACCCTCGAGAGCAATCTTGAAATGGCCGTTGCGGTATTAGGTTGTGAACCAGTAACCGGGTTCTTTTTTTTGACATGGTAAGTGATGGAGAAGCTTTTCATTCTGATTATTTCTTGGCAAAACCTTTGATCAGAGATAGGTGTTGCAATGATGTTCGGCCTGCTCTAAGCAAATTTTTCTTCCCTCTGTATGAAGTATATATAGCTTAGGTTGGCACAAAAGTGCGGATCATGTAGTCGTGGTCGTTGATAAACTTCTGAAACGAACCTAGAAAAAAAAAAAAAAAGTCAGAGAGAGAGAACTAGAAGCAAAAGAAAACCCTAAAGGCGGTAAGTGAAGTACTGCATTATGGGCTGGGTTCAATATTTTATTAATATTATCATAGTATGCCCAGGCCCTTTTAGCAAGATATAATGCCTCAGAGAATTTTGCTCGCCAAAGCCCAGCTCCTGATTGGTCCAGAAACCAAGCTAGTAAATCACTTAAGGCGCTCATTGGATTGGATTCCTGGCTGGCCTGATCATCTGTACCTAATTTGGAAACAAAATTTGTCTGCACAGTAAGATCCAGAGATGATTTATAAAGTAATATTTTCTTTTATTGCATTGGTAATTAACATATTAATTGTCAATTACCACATTTCATGAAAGGATATTACTATAAATAGAATGTTAACTAATCATTAGCAAATTCCTTTATTTAATTCATGGTGTGGCTTATATTCACTCTTCACTCTTTCACTGATTAATTATTTTCTATCAAAATTCTACGCTGTCCATTACCAGTATATAAATTCTGCATCAGGATTGCCTTTTTTTCCCCTTCACTTCACATTGGCAAATCACTCGCTTCATTTATGTGACAAGTTAATGTTCTTATATTCCATAGGCCAAGTTCATGAACGATAGAGTTTGTTTTGTTTACAATATTATCATGAGAATATATTACATAAAATAACCATTTTCCAACTTCCCTTGGAACCAAACCAAAGTAAAACTGCAGCTTTTATCATTCCATGGCAAAGGGGTACCGAGAACTCACTGGGAAGCCATTCGAGTGTCGACCTGTTATCATCCAGTTGCAATATAAAGGTTCTTATCAGGGTTTACATCAATGATAATCTATACATTCTTCTTTCAAATTTTTATATACTAAAAGGTAAAACATAGATATTGAGAGAGACGTCAAGAATGGTTAATTGGCACGTCAAACTGATAAGCCCTAGAAGGGGCTTTTCGTAGGTGCTGCTTATTATATGGAAGGTGATACTATATTTTAGAAGAACTCGAATAAATTCGATCACGTAAATTATCGGTAGTGTCAGTGTTTCAGATTTCTATAGTGGTGGGTTTGCTATTTCTGGCCAAAGATACAGAAAACTGGATGAAAAGGTAGGCTTCCCAATATGGGGTAAAGTGTTTTTGAGATGGCAGAAATTTTCGGTTAATTTCCAGTAACCAGTCACATCAAATGGCATCACCAAAAGGGATGGTATTGCTTAGTAATGTATAATATCGTTTCCTATGACTGCTAATGCACTGGAACTGTCTCTACGCCTTTGGAACAACCAAGCTTGGTTTAGGATTCAGGAAAGAGGCAAACACACGCACACAAAAAGAAGAAAAAAGCTGATAAAAGAAGGGTTGCTGTGATAATGACTGCTACGTCTCTCCTTTCTTTGGTCCCTTCTAGTGTGCGAAGCTTCTTTACTCTTTCCTATGTACGGCCAGTGCCTGTCTGGAAAGAAAAGAAACACTACTCGACGCAAGTGTTGGAGATCATAATGGAGTATATGTACATGAAATATTTAATTCCTAAAAAAGTGAAAGCTTTCATTGAAGGCACGAGCAATATCATCTCTTTCTCTTCATAATTTGGTATCCATCCATTTATACATACAAAGTATTTTTTCCAACACTCAAACATGTTTACATTTCAAATAAAGCTTCTTATATATATATATTCAATGCTAGCTATTTACCTGTGCTGATATTGTGGTTTTCCCTTTTATGCATTCATGGAGTTGATGGAGAAATATCATTATTGTAAGGAAATTTAATGGTCATGAGGAGACCACCAAAAAGTTCAAATGTCGCTTTTATACTTTAATTTAAGTATTCATTTTGGGGCTTCATTTAAGCAAAGTTTCTACTCTTCTAGAATGCCTTTCATTTTCAAATTTCAAGTGAAAAAGTGATGCTTTTTTTGAAAATGATCAAAGGATCCTGATTAGTAAACACCCTGATTCCAATATTTCATTAATTATATAACATTTTTTTTTATCATCATCAACATTTTCTTTTCCACCATTTTGCAGCATTGCCAACCTCATATAAGCTTATATTAGAATAATTCATTGGAATTTGCCGCTTTATAAAAGCCAGCATTTGTCTAACAAAGAATCTTTTGTGCTTCACCATATCTAGCTTGTACTTTATTCCTAATTAGTATTAGTCAACAAATGGGAAACTCAGCTGGGATTTGTTAATAATCTCAAACTATATTCGGCACGGACCTTAAACACATCATCCACAAGCAAAGTTAAGCATTTTATCTTCTCATTCTTCATAAAAACTTAAGGATGGGAAAGGACATAAAAAAATATTTTTTTCTTGTTATATTTGAGACTAGCAAAATCTGAACTTTGGTTACTGAAATTAAGAATCTAACATTCTACCAAATTAAATAGAGACAGTGGTGATGAAAATTTTCATCCCTTTCATTTTCCATTCTCTCTGTTGTAAAGCCTTAAACATGAGATATATCAAATTAAATCAAAAGTTAACTGTTGAACATAAATACATACGTCGCTTTCAAAACAAGTTTCTTTTCATTTGAGTACATTGTTGTTTTTTGTTAATTTGATTATTTGCTTCTTACTGATCTTTTGATGTTAACAGCCAAAAAGTTTCATACAGACAAAAAAGGGAAAGCTGCTATATTATTTATTTTTACTTATTATTATCTACCCACCGACTATATAATTTCCAATCAAGGTACTTTGAAAGATAAACATTTCTTGTTGGATTGAATGTAAAAGCTTTTTTTTTTGTTGTTGAATAAGTTATCAGCCGACATTGTTGTGAGGGGCAACTGGCCGTGTATCAAGGGAGCATAGTTTTATGAACTTTTATCTGCAATCCTCTTCCTATGAATTTCGAGTTCACTACACAAACTTACCTTCTAACATTTACTCGTAATGCCAAACTCTTTGTACACCTAACAATATCTTGGTGGAAAATAATGGAAAACTTCATTCATGACTGTCGGTTAATTACTATGGTTAAAAGTGTTTTTGTCGTGATTCTAATGATCAAAACTATAAATATGTGCTGACAGAGATATGATACGATGATAAAATATTAAATTTTTAATTTTAAAGTTTAGAATTCAAATCTTCATAACTTCGAATAAAAAAATAGGAATATGATGTCATTTAATCGACAAGTCTTCAGAGACTTAGTACTAAAAAAGCTGAGCAGCATTGGAGCAACCCCCTTAAAAACCACATGCAGTCATCAACCTACTTCTTTGGTACAAAAATTTGACTTAAGGCACTGCAAAAAGACCATCTGAAAGATTTATTTCTGGTTTATAATCTGATCTAAGTCACTGTTTCCTTAACCTATGCACCGTACTGCAGAGAAACTTGTACATAAACTTTCGCACACGTGGGGGCAAATGCTCTCATGCACATGTTGCATATAAAGACAGAAAATTTTCAACTACCCAACAAATGATCAGTAAATATGAAAGAAAGAAAGAAACTGATGAAGAACTAACATATATAATCATATTTCCATGCATAGCGCGAAAGATTTTCAGAAATGTTAAGATGAAGAAATCAGTGTTTTAGAGCATTATTTAAGGCTTTTTTTTTTTGGCTCTATCGCCAGCCAGATATTAAACTCATTAATCCAATTTTAATATTACTTAATCTTAAATGTGCACTTTCTAAGATCCAAATAAAACACAAATTGCTATACATAAAATTCTCATCAGTCAGCTCAACCTTACTTATACATTGTAAATCCCCTCTTAAAAGAGAGTGTACAGTTGTCAAACATTCTCTTACCTCTTAACGAGTCAGCAATTCCCTCATTCGCCAGTACCCATTGCATATATCTCATGTAGGATTAGAATAATTGTGAAATCTGTCATTTTTTTTTTGTTTTCAACTTACTGGTTTTCTCCTCTGCTGAGCTTCAAACCATAGTTCTCCCACAAATTCTCTCCATCAGCAATCAAGAAGGGAAAGCAACTATCATTTACAGCATTGCCAGCGTTAGAGTTAGAAGGGGAAGAGCCATCATTTGCTTGGAGTCTCACTGTCTCAGGTCCTTGCTTATTAATTTCGCAGTATGCTCTTCTTTCCCTGTAGAGGGACTGTTCATTGTTCTGATGATAACCACAGCCTCTTGAGTTCTCCTTGCGTTTTTTGTTACTCTCCTTGGTTTTCATTAGGTAAGCACCAATGCTATCCCATTTGTCTTTGCACATTAAAGCACTCCTGTAAAAGCCTAAACAAGCCATCTTAGCAGCTATTTCCTCCCAAATAATCTCTTCTGAACACCCTACTTGTTCAAACCTCGATTCCATGCTGGTTCTAAGCTGTATTAGCCTAGAAGTCTCAGATTCTTGCCAACCATCTGCCTTAACGGTATTGTTTATTGTTTCACTTCCATTCTCATTCTGGTTTTCACTGTGGTTTAGAATTTCAGTTGCCATTAGCTCCTCAGATGATGCAGCCTTCAATTGTTTTCCTGTCAGGTTTTGCAAGGCCTCCATTAAAGCAGCATCACGAGCTTCAATCCAGGCTCTCTCTTTAGCCCAGAACTCGTTCTCTCTATCTATCCTGGCTGCTTCTTCTTTCCTCCATTCTTCCTCCCTTAAAACCCTCTCTTGCTCTCTTTGCTCAAGAATCTTTGTCAATTTCTCTAGCCATGCCTCTTGCCTCTCCATTAACTTCCTTACTTGTGAGTCAATAAACTCTTTTATCTTTGCTTTCCAGTTCCTACTACCTCTTTTCTTTTTCCGCTTCTCTGATGAATCATTCTCCATTGCCGCTGCAGTGCTTAAATCATTGTCATCTGAGGACGAAGTGTGAAATCTGAGGAATTAGATAGGCTAAGATTATCACAGAGCT